CCACAGCCACACCTTATCCAGATTTTCTTGCGCCAGAGGTGATTCCATATTAGATAAGGCCAATCCTTTCCACAAACATCGACGACATTCTCCACATTTCTCACTATAGTAGTGCCAGTGCTCTGCCGTACCAGTTTCTTTCCGGGAATTCCTTAAACCAGACATGTACCTTCACTTGGACTTCCACAGGGCTTCGCGTACGATTATAGGCTTATTTATTTTTATTATAGGATTTACTATAACAATTTATTATTGAGGGTACGGTAATATTAAAAAAAAGCGCTGCATAATTATACAAGAAAGATATAATAAATATAGGAGATTATTTTTATACCCCCAGATTTATTATTTATATCTCCTACAGATTTAACTTTTTTTTAAACTTTATCTCAGCAACTACTAAATCAAATTTGATAAACTTTTTTTTGTTTGAATACTATGAATCTATAGAATTTAAATAAAAAATAATTATTAAAATTGACTTGATAGTTGTCGAGATATCTTTGCTTAAAGTTTTAAAAAAATTTAAAATATCTATCTAAACAAAAGCTGTGCTAAATTTTTTTCTAAACTTTGAGTGAAAATATCTTGACAACTACCAAGCTAAATTTGATGAACTTTTTTTGTTTAAATTCTATATAATCATAGAATTTAAACAAAAAAAGTTCATCAAATTTGGCTTGATAGTTGTCAAGATATTTTCACTCAAAGTTTAGAAAAAATTTTAGCAAACCTTTTGTTTTGATAGATGTTTTAAATTTTTTTTTAAAGCTTTGGGTGAAGATATCTCAACAACTATTAAGTTAATTTTAATAAATTATTTTTTATTTAAATTCTATAGGTTCATAGTATTTAAACAAAAAAAGTTCATCAAATTTGACCTAGTAGTTGCTGAGATATCTTCACTCAAAGTTTAAAGAAAATTTTGTATAGTTTGTTTTAATAGATATTTTGATTTTTTTCAAACTGAGTAAAGATATTTTAGCAACTACTAGATCAAATTTAATAAACTTTTTTTTGTTTGAATTCTATGAATCTATAGAATTCAAATAAAAAAAATACCAGGAATGAATGTAATGAGTGTATGGTTTATATGCTATTTGAAATAACTTCTGTCTGCAAAATCTTATATTTTATTGGTCAGCATGACTTTATTTATCACATATTGCTTGTTTTTCACATGCTATTTGTCATACTCTGTATTGTTATATTCATTTAATAGTATTTGTAGAAAGCGAGAAACGTATTTAAATTTTAACCAAAAAAAAACTCTTTGAATTATTAAACTTATATTGAATAGTACTGTACATATAAGTGCATTCATATATACCATATTAAATGATAGCAAAAGTTTAGTTTTTAGACATAAATATCATTTGTCTAATTTAAATTTTTATGTCTATTCACTCATACTTTGTTAATTTTGCTTTTTTTTTTAGGATCTTTTATTGGTTTGATGAAATGATAATTGCTAATTATCAAAAATAAAAGCGAAAGTATTTGTTTATCATTTCTTAATAAATCGTGATTATTGAACATGCTTTGTAAATTTGACAGGATAACAAAATTCTGGGTTTAAATTCGTTAACGCTGTGCTGATATTAAGCAATACTATAATCCAACTCTATTGATGACTTTAAAAGTACAATAATTTTATTTTGAGGGAAATAGATATCATATTAATTTTAAAATAAGCGATATGTTAACTTTATTTCATTCTTTAATGATTAATGAGGATTTTAAAATTAACAAATAAGTGATTTATTTCATTTTTACTATGTTGAATTATAAATCAGAAAAATAAGATAAAATTCTTTGATTTTAATTTCAGAACCCCCTAATGTTCTTGTTTAGTGCGTAAAATTGTCGCATAGCATGTTTGTTGTTTTCTAGCAAACAATAGTAACAAACAGTTATATTATGAGTATTAAATTTTGAATGTAAAATTTCTAATTATCAAAAAATTGTGCTAAAATTTTTCTTAATTTATCTGGAATCTCCAGCATTTTACTATGGAATTTTTTGCTTTGTCATTAAACATTCACTTGTTTTTTTTAATAAGTTAAGTCTCTAAACACTTCTGTTTCATTTTTCTATTTCAAAATTTTGATACACAATTAAGATTTTTTTTTTTATATTTTTTTCTAATTTTAAAACCCTAATTGCATAATTATCAAATAGATATTTTTACTTGATAGGTATATTCTAATTTCTTTGCACATGATTATTCAATCAAGATTCTGATATATTTTGTTCTATACTTTTTGAAACTTTCCTATTTAAGTTATGTATATATGCTACGTAGACAAGATGTAATGTGCAATATAGTATATGGTTGATGCAGCATTTTTGTTTTCAAAATCTTATGTTTCGTTGATTAGTATATATGATGGGTATGATAAATGTGTTATTCTGGTTATCAACAGCACTGTCAAATTTTTACTATTTATATAAATTTTTATCTCATCAAAACAATGAATATGCAATAAAACCATAAATTAGGGTTATTTTTTGATTATACGAGGCTTATACCAAAATTATGTTGAGAATATTTTTTTTTGTATACGGAAAGTAATTATGTAGACCAGATTTTGAATTAAGAATGATTTTTTAAACAATACATGATTTTTATATTAGGTTAATCTCTTATTCAGTAAGAATCTTTTGGTGTTACTAATATAGTATGTACATATATACGTATGTCGTATAATATATACGAAAATTTTTCGATCATCATATGTATATGATCGATTGACCAATTGATCCTCAATTTTTGCTATAAACAAGATTGTTTATCGTTATAATTACTCTTTGCGATATACAAAATTATTAAAGGCTTGAAAGGTTTTGACCGAAAGATTGATAGACATAAACAAATATAAATCTAAGAATGTTCGTAGAGAAAAAAAAACACATAAGCTTGCGGTAAGATTGTTTATCGTTACAATTATACTTTGCAATATATAAAATTATCAAAGGCTTAGAAAAATTTTCGATCAAAAATTTGATAGATGTAAACAAATATGAATCTAAGAAAGTTTGTAGAGAAAAAGACATATATCAGCTTGCGTTAAAAGTCTTTATATTAGGCTTATTTGAAGTAAAAGAAAAGGAATGCATTGATTAACAATCATATCATTTTTGAGTAAAAGATAGTAACTTATTGTTAAATTAGAAAAGCCTTACCTTTTAATCGATGTATAAAAAAAATATGCCTCTGTATTTTCATAAATATAAATAAGTTTGACTTTGTTATTAAAAAATATACTTTGAGTTCTTTTAATAGTATTTCACAATAAAAAATCAGATTTCCATGACTATAATCCTATAATTAACATAAATTCCAGAATTCAAAATGTCTTCTCATGTTGCGCTTCTTGTCACTATTCTCTCTGTAAAAAATAGTCACTTATGCTCATATGGTCAAGCCAAATATAATTTTGCTAGAGGAATGTCGCAAATCATTAAATGGAAAATTTTTTTTCACTAAATGAACAGCCTATAGCATTTACAAGTGGCGATTTTGTTTTTTTTCTGGCAAATTTGTTGTTGAAAATTCTGAGCAATGCATACTGTCACGTACGCAAGTGTCCTTAATATAGGAAATTCTAATTGTGAATTCGATACTACTGATATTCCTCTGTGTATTCCGCATTGCATGTTCTCTGTAGTTGTTATCTGTACACCTAAACAACTTCAAGAATTTATCCATTTTGGCATAGAGTGTACTAAATATAATTCTGTTACTGGTACCTCTAATATAAATATGCAAATGACAGTTCTTTACCATATAGAATCCATAAGATTTCAAAAATTTGGGTTCAAATATCAAATTAGATAGTACGTATCTTATATCAGGCCTTTTTAAATTTTCAACTTCTGGAAAGATGATGGTCGAGGCAACGAATATTGATTACTTAAGAACTTCAAATGTTACTCATAATACGTATGAAAATTTTTCTTCAAATTTTAGTACACAATCGATTATTGATATTATTGCTGACGATATTGAATCTATCACCACTAATGCTCTAAAAACTGTTGATTCTACAATTACTTTGGCTAATCATAATATCACAGTTACTCCAGGTCCATCAAAAAATTTGGTAAATATTCCAATTCCCTACGTACAAATTGAATCACTCTATGAAAGAAAAAAACAAAAAAAGCTATTAGATTATACTGATTTAGATACGCAAGAAGAAGAGCAATTGAGTTATAAAGATGATGAAAAAACTAAAGAATTAGACAAAGATAAAATTTCGCAGAATAAAAGTGAAGAAGAAAGTCAACCTAAAAAAAGAAAAAGAAATATTAGAATAACTACGAAGGAAAAAAAAGAAAAGCGAAAAATAAATTAAAATCAAAATTTGATTAGCTTTATTTTTTATATCTTTATATATTTTGATTTTTTTTTTTAACATATATAAAACAGTATAGTTTAAAATCAGTTTGTTAATAAATTTTATAAAACAATGTAGTTTAAAATCAGTTCATTAATAAATTTTATAAAGGCGCAAAAGCTTGAAAATTTTTTTTCATATTAGTGTGGTTTAAAAGTTATTAAATAAGTCTAATCTATATAAATTTTCAAGCATAAATTCAATGATCTAATTTCTACTCCAAGATTATAATAAAAATAAATTATCTCATCATTATTTAATTTATATACTGCATTTGGTCTTAATTATGTAATTGCGCTTGTGCTAAATATTTTTATCTTTTCTGTCAAACATGTTAACAATATCTTAAATAGCTCATGAATTCTAATTTCAAAGTATTAAAGTTTACGTATTTATTGTTTTATGATTTTCTTAGATTCAATATCTTTATATATTAATAGATTAATGCTTTATTATTAATTTTTAGTTAAAGCTGTGATCACTCGGTAATATTGAATTAGTATTTTGAAATATAGCTGTACTGAAAGAAAACTATAGTGAATTAGTACAATATTGAATAAAAAAAATATCAAATAATGCTAATATTAAAAAATAAATATACTTAGGTCTAAAAGACCATTACTGTATGCATTGCTTACCAGCTCTCCCGCCTTGTTTCTTGAATAAGACCCTGGTATGACTATATTGTTTTACTACTTTTAGTATAATATATCCAATTATAATATCTAGTTCTTCATGGGTACTATTTGGGGTAGTATAAATATTAGTAACCTGTATTTACTGCGATACTAGAAAAAGAAGCCCAATAAACTATATATTGATAAATAGTGTTAAAGATGATCATAATGATCATAACTACTCGTATTAGAAAAATAACAATGCATACTTACAGTATGTCATAAACTTCTTATCTTAGTGCATGTTAATTCTTACCAAGTCAACTACGTTTCTACTGAACCTATCTCGTTTTAACCTTTACAACTATAAACAGTGTATCAGACTTTGTTTGATTCCTAAATCTATTTTACACTTTTTACTATCTATTATACTGCACATTGTTACGTAATAATAATTGAAGACAATAATCAACAATAGGCTTGGATGATTTTCAATAGAAGAATCGATAAACACAAACAAACAAAAATCTAAAAAACTTGCAAAGAAAAAATACTTACAGTATATGAAATAGTCTTTATCGTTAGGCTTAGTTAAAACAAAAAGAAAAGAAATATATTAACTAATAATCATAACATTCTAAAAAGAAAAATAGGAAAAAAAATCTTGTTCTTGAATAATTATAATAGAAAAATAGAAAATTCTCGTGGAAGATAGAAAGATAAAGATTTGTTTTTGATCTGTAAAAAAGATCTTATAGTATGCTTATCATATCTTTGTAAAATATAAAAGAATGCTATTTCGTCTTTATAAAGCATAATACTTGCCTTTTGATTCTAATATTAGATTTTAATAATAAAAAAACACTTAAACTGATTTATTTATTAAAAAAAAAAAAAAAGAAGTCAAATTAAAAGAAAGCGTAAAGTGGCTATCAAAAAAATCTAGCACATCATGAACCAAAATAAAAAATTAGAATAGCATAATTAGAACAAATATCAAAATCTCTGTAACTATGACCAATATCGTAACTAGAGGTGAAGCTAGAAAAATAAAAAAGCACGAACGAAAAGCTGCCAAGCATAAGGATTATCTATTTAGAAAATCTGAAATCGACAAACAAAAAAAATGTTTTGCTAACCTTTATCAGAATGAAGAATATGCTCAATCATATAAAATTAAACAAAAAGATCATTGAAAATGACAAAAAATAATGGTAAACTCTTTATCAAAAAATCTATTGACACCTTTACGCATTCTTGAGATGAATCAAGATTTCGAAAAGGCTCTTATTCAATATGCATCATGGCCTCAGCCAATTTATCCAAAAATAAAGAAAAATATATTAGCCGAGTTTCGTGATAAGACCGATTTTAGCAATCTACGAGAACTGCCCTGCGTAATTTGTTCTAGACTTTATAATTGTAAAAACTATAAAAGAATTTCTGTACAAGATATTGACCTTTCTATACTTAAAGCACTGACTGATCTTATTGATCCATCATTTGAAATCGATTTTAATTATTGATATCCTTACATTGCCTCTATTAAAACTAATATTTTTCTTGATCATTCCGGTTTTATTTATAACGATCCTCTTAATTATAATAATCCTTTTGACCTGTGTATCTGTATTGAGTGCTGTAATTGCTTACAAAAACATAAAATTCTACCATTATCGCTGGCTAATAATATGTGAATTGGACCTATACCAATATGCTTTCGGGATTTAACAATCTCAGAGCAAATTATAATTTTTTCCAGTTATTTATGCATGAATCTTATTCAACTAACAAAGAGAAAACATACTCATCACAAGCTTAAGGATCACGTTGTAAAATTACCTCAAAATTCATGCTCACTAGTTAAGGTATTACCATTACCGATATATAAACTTTGCAAGCATTTAAAAGTAGTATTTGTTGGTGAGAGGACGCCCACTAATCACCAACTTAAAAAAGTATTTCAAGTAAGAAAAAGCAAAGTTATAGCCGTACTTCGATGGCTCTTTATGCACAACAAATTATTCAAAGATAACATTATACTTGATAAGAGTGCTTTAAATCTTTTACCTGAAGATAAAATTCCTGAATCTTTAGTTTTAACTACTACTATAATAAATATTGATTCTCGAGAAGTAGAATACTATACAGATTATACTCGAGAGTAAGATAGTGAAAGTAATGAAGAAAAAGCTTTCAATAACAGTGATCACATCTCGGATAGTTTTATAAAAAACAATACAATTAGCAGTGCAAATAAACTCAGACCTTCTGAGATTATACATATCGATGATGTATCAATTACTAAAAGAGAGCTCACCTTGCTTTCTTTTCAAAATCTTATAAATATTTTAGACAACTAGCCTAACAATTGTGAATATAGCATTAAAATCGAAGCTACTTCTACATGATCTCATGTATTACATATACCTCATGGTCGTAACCCTTTTAATGAGTATAAAGATATAATACTCTTTCCTGCGGGATTTCCGGTTTTCTTTCTATATAGTATTGGAGGTCATGAAGGTCGATCATTTCATGTATCATTAAAAAATATACTAACCACCTTATGCAGCATCGTGATCCAAAATTTAGACAGCATAGATCATTTTCTTTTGTCATTTTTGATGTCTTACAACAACAAGAAGTATCGGCTGAAACGTATAATTTAACCAGAAAGAAAAATTTTAAACATTCTGTGAATTTAATATCAAAACTTAATCTTAACACATAAAATTAGCCATTGAACAAGAACACAACAAGCTTCCGATTACAAATCTTGCAATTAATGAGCTACTAAAAAATATTAATATAGCTGGCTCTAATTTAATAGTCTTTCATCAATCACGCACCCATATATGTAATGAAATATGGGCTATTATTTTTCATGATGGATCTCCTTCCTTATTTATTACTATAAATCCTGTGGACCTTCACAGTCCTATTGTCATGATGTATGCTGGAAATGAAATCGATTTCGAAAATATATTCTCTCGGAATTTTTCAAAAGCTACAGAAAGAGCTCAGCTCATGCATTTTGATCTTTCAGCTGTTGCTAAATATTTTAATATTATAGTTAGATGCATTTTATTATAATCATTGGGTATAGTAAAAAACAGGTTGGGTTTTTGGTAATATAAAGAATTATTATAGTGTAGTCAAATATCAAGATCATAGTACTTCTTATTGTCATTTACTAATATAGATTTACGGCTTGCTTAATCTAATTAAGTTATATTGAAAGCTTAAAGATGATAATTTTTTACAACAGTTACTTATATATATAAATAATATTGTTAAAAAAGATATCAGTTATCTTCTTATAAAAGATGAGATTTTGATAGATGAAATGCTTGAATTATATTATAAAACTCCAAAAACGATAAAAGAAAAGCGAATATATTCTTCATTCTTCCCTATACCAGATCCCGATTTCTCTAATTTTGAAGAAAATTTTCGCTTAGATTTGCTCACGATTGCCAAATGCACCTTATATCATCGTTGTACTCGGTTATATAAAAAATATAACAAAGGTTTACAAAAATATTGTAGATTTGACTTTCCAAGAGAGCTTGTTAAACCTTTTGGCATGATCTTTCCTGATCAAAGTATTATTGCTATTCAACATGCTAATGCCTTCATTAATAATCATAATCTGTATATAATAGCTACGTGTAGAGAAAATAATGATATAAAATTCATTGTGTCACAGAAACTTTCTTTAGCCTACATTTATTATCTAATCGACTATATCACAAAATCGGATATAAGTATACATAGTTCTTTCTTAATTTGCGCTTCAACTTTAGAATCCTTTTTAATACAACCATCTAATCAAGCTTCGTTTAATCTCGTAAATAGATCCTGTAAACTTATAACAAAATGCCTTACCAAAATATCAGACCAAACTGAGCTTACAAGTCCGCAAGTTTCGGCATATTTACTAGGTATTTGTGATCATTATACACCGAATAAGTTTGCTACAATACACCTTAGAACTTTTAAAAATTACCTTACAAATGAGTGGTCAAGATATGTTCAAAATATTACTAAAAATATTAATGAGTCTAGTAGTGACTCAACTGTTGACAGTGATCAAGATATAACAGATGAATTATTCTT